TACAAAGAAATCATTAAATTCATTTGCAATGTCTTTAGTTTTATCAAGCACAATATCTTTATCTTTTTTAAAATAATCTGGATAATTCTTATTTTTTGAGCCCTTTTTGATTATACTGTTTAATATCCTCCATGTTTCTTGTGTGTTACTTCTACTTTGTTTGACATTGTCACATACTATCCCATATGGAAAAGAAATAGTAAAAACTTATAAAAGACTTGCATAAGATGTGGCCTACTTCATGTAGTGAATCATATAAGGCTTATATGATTTACTCATGAAAGTGGCCACTTTCTCATTACTTTCATATATTGTTTTAGTAAGCATCCAAAACATACAAGTTTCATTTATATAATTTTTCAAGGGACCTTATATCTGTTTTCACTCTTGTATGCTTTTCATATAAGTTTCACACAAGACAGACACAAACTTTATAAGATGTACTGTATATATATCTTTTCCATATGGGTATGTAAGAGGTCAATATTAATTAATCCCAATCAAAAGTTTAAGATCACTTGAAAAATGGCAAAAAATCATATTTTGCAAGGTTGGATCTTAACAAGGTTCCAAGTTGAGCTTCAGCATGCAACAAGAAGAAACATTTTTTGACCATGCAATATATTGAAAACAAGAATTAAATTGAAACAGGCTGTTTTACAGCTGATCAAAAGTTTAGGACCACATGCCTTTAAAAGGCCAATTCTGTGCAAAGATGTGGATTCATTGTCCCATTCTCAGGTAGTCACACTGTCAGGACGTTCCAATGGCAAAAGCAAAAAAAACAAAAAACGTTCCCTTTTTGAACGTGGCCGGGTTGTCGAACTGCAGAAGCAGGGTGTCTTACAGTGCGTCATCGCTGCTTAGGTGGGACGCTGTAAGACAGTCGTTTGGAATTTCTTAAATGATCCTGAGGGTTATGGAACAAAAATGCCAAGTAGAAAATTTCACCAGCACTGAGCTTGAGGATCCAATTGGCTGTCCGTCAAGACACTGGACCTGGACCCAAATTAAGGCTGGTACTGGTGCCGACTGCAGCCTCATAACCATCAGACGGCATCTGAGACTGAAAGGCTTCAAAAACAAAAAACGTCTTCAAAGGCCTTGTCTCCTTGAACGCCACAGAACTGACCGTTTGGACTTTACACCAAACATGGTACATTAAAAGGTGGAAGAAAGTTTCATTCTCTGATGAGAAAAATTTAACCTTGATGGTCCTGATTTCCAACATTACTGGCATGACAAACAGATAGAGATGTTTTCTATGCACCACAGTGGAGGGGGCAGCATAATGGTCTGGGGTGCTTTGTCCTTCAGTGGAACAATGGAGCTTCAGGAGGTGCAGGGGCGTCAAACAGCTGCTGGCTATGTCCAGATGTTGAAGAGAACATCCCTCATGACTGAGGGCTCTCATCTGTGTGGTAACAACTGGGCTTTTCAACAGGACAATGATACAGTACACAATGCCTGCAGGACAAGGGACTTCTTCCAGTAGAATACCATCACTCTTTTGGACCATCTTGCACGTTCCCCTGATCTAAATCCAATTGAGACGCTTTGGGGAGTGGATGTAAAGGGAATGTGAATGCTAGATACTTTAGAAACCACTTAGGTATAAGTGATATATGTAGATAGATACGTGTATAAAACATGCCCCACGGCTCATGCAGTTTTTTTTCTCTTTCTACCTAAGTGCTTTTTAAAGTATCTAGCATTCACATTCCGATGATGCATCGGAGAGCAACCAGGGGTTCAATGCCCAAGGATACTTTGGACACATACTGGTGTAGCGAATAATTGAACCAACAAGTTTCCAATTAGGTGATACCCTGCTCCAGCAACACAAGGCTATTAATCTCTGGCTGTCTTCCACAGCATGTCTTCTATCCTTTCTTCCTTCTCTCACCGGTTGGGTGATGGCCACCCCTCTCTATGCCTAGTTCTGCTGGAGGTTTCTTCCTTCTTAAAAGGGAGTTTTTCCTTCACACTGTCACCAAAGTGCTTGCTCATAAGGTGTCATATGATTGTTGGGTTTTTCTCTTTATGTATTATTGTAGGGTCTACCTTGAAATTCAGTCTGAAGTAAAATGGAATAATTGATAAAAACATTATTAGGACAGGCTTAAACTGTTTTCATGGATGACTCTGCCATACAGAAAAAGAGTAAGTTTATAATGTGTCTATGATTATCTCTCTGCAATTATCTAACAGGTTGTGAGACAGATCCAGTCATGTGGCTTACACCTATTTCTTCTGGTGCTGAAGAGGGAAGAGTATGAATGGGTATGAGAATTGATCTTTCACACAACTATGTTTTATTCAAATCTGATGTCTTATTGGTAACCAGTGATCATAATGCTCAGTGATTAACATCATTTAGATCAAGACTAAATGCAGCTATTCTTAAAACAGTGACAGCCAGCAACAATCTCATGTTCTAATGCTACTACACATACTGACAATACTGACGATGAGGAACTTTCCAACTTCTCCCGAAATAGTTGTTGATTGCTGAGGAATTAAAGTTAACATTGCAGATGTGTGTATAAGTGTATGAATTCTTTTTAAACCTTTGCACAAAGGCAGTTTCTTTTCTTTTTTTTTGAGAGACGGCCTCAGAAAAGAATTAAAGGGTGAGCACTTCTTAGCTCACATGACATATTTACTATCAACTACAGGTTGAGGCTTCTGAAAATCTATATTTTAGTCCTATATTTTACTTTAGCCCCCCTCCCCTACCAAATTTTCAACATTTCATCTCTGGCAGCTTAGCTCAGGAGGTAACAATTAGTCCTCTACCAATTGGAAGATTGGAGATTTGATTCCTGGCTATTCCATTAGGGTTATAGCTCTGTTATCAGAAGAAAATTTACAAGGTGCTTAACAACGAGGGATAACATGGAAAAACAAAACAAACACAAATTGAAACAGTGGTCCCATCATTGCACAGTTACATGTTGTTTACATAACAATTTATGGTTAACGTGAGGCTAGCAAGCCACTGACGCCATTTTATTTAACTCAGGTATGTATCTTTGAAGGGTTTTTATTTCTCTGTTTAAACTAGTCAGGGTACTGAAACTTTATTTCTGAAAGACACCTACTTTAGATCCTCATATTTGCAGCATTAATTTTGCTCTGCATTTGACTGTTAAACCCACTTTCTGCAGAAATTTCAAATTACAAGCATTTTAAGGTCTTGGTGGACAGAAACCCAAAGCTCTTAGTTAAATGACAAAACAAAGTGTGACAGCATTAAATAAAGAAACTAAACAAAAAAACACCAACAGACTTTGTTAAGCTTTTCATCATCAACCTATTTCACCATACCACATAATGGGTACATCTAATGGCAACATAGGTAAAGTATTATAACTAAATGCAAAGATTGCCCCCCCCCCCCCCAACCACCACCACCAACAAATACCAAGTCATGTTTTGCTTGGGGAAGAAATATTTATTTCACTCAGTAAATCATGCAAATCAATTTATAATGTTTGTATGAATAATTTTATTTTATGATTTTTTTTTCGGTGGGGGGGGGGGGGTGTTCTGAACTTTAGATTCTGGAAGAATGAATCCAGAACCACATATTTCGGGTCACAGAATCTTGCAGATGTCTCCTTTCTCCTTTTTCCAGGCAGTGTCTATGGGCGTGGACCTAAAATTCCTGGCCAATGCCACCAAAGGGGATCGCTGGTCTCGACCCAGGCTATGTCACATCCAAAAACAGCCAACGCATGGCCTAGGAATGACTATTGTCTCAGTCGATGGTATTTATTTTGCTGTCACTATCTGTGACAAGTGCTAACTACTCACAATCACAAACAGCTCCCCTGAAGTCACTGTACCTTCTAACTATTTTACAAGAAAGCCAAGAAGTTCCAGTGCTAAAGTTCAAACTCAGTTTAGATGAACAGTTTCCCCTGGTTCTAGTCTATGTATCATTAGGACATAGACCAGAACCATCAAATCACAAAAGTGATCTAATGGTTCCCAAAATGTGCAACTATTTAATTATTTCTGCTGATTACTTATAATATACAACAGTTTTGTTTTTTCTTTCATCAACCATTATTGAGTAGATTTTGACTGTGGACAGACTGTGGATGTGTCAACAGGTGAAAAGAATCAATATATGGTGAGAACAGTTATTGATGGTCCAGCAGAGAAAGCGGGTATCTTCAGTGGTGACAGACTGATCTGGATCAATGGACTGATGGTGTCCACTCTCAGATACTCAGCTCTCATCAGAACTGTACGGATCCTCTTCTCTCAGTCAGAATTGATGTGTGTGCTCTGTTACACTGAATGTGCATTACTGTCTGGTGTGTTTGGCCCTCAGGTGAAGAAGAGTGGGGATTCAGTGACAGTGCTTGTTATTGACAGTGACAGTGAGTCATGCTATATCAGAAGGAAAATTCCCATCATGCCTGTGGTGGCACAAAGCTGCAGCCTCCCCCACAAAGCTAAGACCATGAATCTGGTGAAGGGAAGTGATGGATATGGCTTCCTGTTGAGACAAGAAAAGCTGGCAAGCACACAACAAAAAGGTGAGAGACATATTAATGGAAAGTTTATGAAAGGATATAGGGTCCCACTTTATTTTCAATTGAACTGATTTCAATTCAGCTTTATTTATATAGTACGAAGCCCCGCAGGGGACATGGGAGAAAAAAAAATTAAGACGGAGCTTTGCGAGATCTCGCAAAACTTTTGCGAGATCCCGAGTTTGTTTTGCGAGAGTTCACAAAACTTTTGCGAGATCCCGAGTTTGTTTTGCGAGAGTTCACAAAAGTTTTGCGAGATCCCGAGTTTGTTTTGCGAGATCTCGCAAAACTTTTGTGGGCCAGTGGACACTTTTGTGGGCCAGTGGACACTTTTTCAATAATGAGGATGTAGACATCATGGACAGGAAAGAACGCTGGTTTGAGCAGGGAATCAAGGAAGCCATTTATGTGAAAAGGGAGGCACAAGGATACATCTGTCACCATCTCACAATGCTTTGCTTGCAGCCATTCTTCAACTCTCTGTGAATGGTACTCATGGCCATTGATCAATGATGAATGGTCTTGTTGATCAATGGTCATGACAATTTGCATATTAATGATCAAGAAACTGACCTTGACAGTCCATTGTTCATCAGTGGTGCTAGTTTCAGTCACTGTGCAAAGGTACTGTGTATAAGGTTGGGGAAACCTGCAGTCAGCTGAGACTGATGAAGTCACTTGGATCAGTGATAAAACCTTTCTCCCACTGAAATCGCTACATCCAGATGAACAGAATCAACTTTTGGGGATTTACTTACCTGGATGATTGAGCATTCATCAGGACATCAGAAAGCTTGCTTATCAAGTCGCAGTAACAGATAATATCAAACACCATGGGATGAGAAACAGATGGCAGGGCCTGACTGGTTTATAAGGTTTGTGAAGCTGAACCCCAGCTGGGGCGGGGGTGGGCACTTAAATGATACTTATCTAACTAACCTACTCTAAGCTAATGCTGATTTTGTTCTAATCTTTGAGAAGAAAAACACTGGAGAATATGAGGACACCTTTGCCACCGCTGTCCTTATCTCTTCCGTGTTGCTAAAACCCAATAGGAGAAAGCCAAGTCCAGTAGGATACAATGGAAATCGAAATCTTCTAAAATATATACTCTAACAAGACAAAAATGAGCAGAGAAAAAGCCAAAAATCCTAAATCCAATTAAAGCTGGAAGCAGCTTTGGAAGGGCCCTCGCACCCAGCCATGCCCAACAGGTGGCGATGGAGATTACCGTTCAATCTAATGTCACACTCAAGCATATAATGTATTGCACCACCAGTCAAAATGTAATCTAGATCAATGACGATTTTAGCTTTTTCCACTTTTTCCAGCTCTTTCCACAAAGTGGCGCTCTAACCATTGCTGACAAATGGCACATCAGTCCGTTTGAGGCACGACTGTCATAGTGCCTGTAAAGTGTGAGAGGGATTGGACAATGTGTCTTTGAGTTATAGCAGTTTTGTAATTCTTGGCAAATGATTGAAACTCGACGTGCGGCCACGACCACCCGTTTCACGAAACGTGAAAAGCTTCGCATTTTAACATGACTGAGGTCTCTTGATTCCACTCAGCGCAGATTATGTTGATCTGGTGAAATTCCAAGGATATGTTCATTAGAGTACGAGGCCTTAAAACTGTGAACAAACGTTGACATGTTCAATTGAAAATGGCTGACTTTCTGTTGAATGGGGAACACTGCTCCAAGAGACTTTATTGTACATCTTGATATCTTACATCAGGCTGCTAAATTTTAGACTCAGAAATTTTGTAGGGGGTGCTGTGGCGTCATTTTGCAATACTCCATGAAAAGAATCACATAACAAGAAAGCCTTCTTCACACTGGAGTAGTGATGGGATTTCCGGCTCTTTTTAGAGAACCGGCTCTTTCGGTTCGGCTCACTAAAAAGAGCCGGCTCTTTCGGCTCTGAACCGGTTTTTCAGGTTGTTTTGTTGCTTTAATTAATTTATTATTAACAATAAAAAAAAAAAAGGAACAAAAGGAATTACTAATGTATAAAAAAGTGGTTTTATTTATATATGTTTATATATAAATATGTGTGGTGGCCCCTAGAGACAAAACACGTACAAACTCCAAAGCACATTTCTAGCATGAACTGAACTTCCAAAACAGAGCTACCTAGATCACTTAAATTACACAATTGAAAGCATATGTGTATTGTTTGTGTATTTATACACAATCACTCATATATATTCAAATAATTTAAAAAAATGTTCATTTACCTGTTATTACCACACACCAAATCCAGTTGTTGGTACTTGCTGGCTTGTGTAGCCACTAGGTAACAAAAGCTCAACACTGCGCCCTAGCATCCTGGAGCACTTCTGCTGTGTTTTGTATGTGTTTTGAGTTTTTATGTGTTTTGGAGTTTTTACGTGATTCAAAGTTTGTACGTCCTTCGGAGTTTGTACGTGCTTTGTCTGTAGGGGCCACTGTAAATATACTTTTATTTATTCACTCCACATAAAATGTAATAAATAAATCATATAATACAAAAACCAACTATTCACATTTCAACTTTTAACTGTTTAAATTTTCAGCTTTTTCCTTTTACAAATGTAAACCACAACACAATTAAATATAAATTATAATATGAAAACAAAAAGAAGATGCATATTCTCTGTCATATGGACCTGCATGAATAAACTTTCTGAATCCTTTATCATCCGCAACTGAAAATAGTTGTGGATGATTACTATACCTTTCTAATGTGACATTGTTGTCCCTGGCTGTCTTTCTCTTTCTCCCTCCTGCTCTGTTCCTGTGCTACTGAGTGTAACTACCGCCCCTCCCCCCTCATCCCAGCGTAAAGCACAAGGCTCGCATGCTGAGTGAAGCGAAAAAAAAGTGCGAGAAAGAAAAAGAAAAAAAAAAACACGGCTCGCAATGAGTGGCCAGCTCGCGATAAGGGGCCGGCTCGTGTCGTTCGCGTCAAAGATCCGGCTCCAAGAGCCATTTTGTTCGCGACCGACACATCACTACATTGGAGGTGTGTGCCATATTTAGTGACTTTTCAAGCTTCCCAACCCACTGTCAAAAGCTTAGAAGAGTTAGAAGGGAGAGGCCTAATGTTTAATAATCCACATTCAACTGTTTTACTCTTTGGCGCAGCTGTGGATATTCTATTGTTCTTTCTTTGTGATTTTTTTATGCTTAAATTGTTTGATGACAGGAGAAGAGAAGCTGCAGAGAGATGTGTAAGACTGTAAGTCTGCTCCCTGGTCCCAATTCTGGATAGTCACATTTTGGCAGGTTTAATAAATTTGGCCATATTTTGAGAAACCTAGAGCTGCTCTGTCCAAAGTGGGAAGGATACTGTTGCACCTAATGGTCTTACCTATAAAACCCAAATTGTTTTTTGGAAACGACTCAGACAGACAGCAGTTAAGGAGAACATGCAGCTAAACATGTCACTCCTGATCTGATTGGGGAGGGGACCAGAGAAAAATACATAGTCTGAGATTGTTTAGCAAAGTTACACACCAATTTAATATTAGTTTTAGTGATCTACGATTGATGTAACCAGGTGTCATTACTGCTAACATGAATTCTAATTTTACAAAATCTACCTTTACATTTAGCCAGCAACTTCAGGGTTCCTTCAGTCTCACCTGCTCTGGCACCTGGAACAGAATTGCCAATAAACAGAGTTTGTTCCTGGCCTGAAGTTAGATTGGCTATAGGGATTTTCAAGGGTGCGGAGCCAGGTTTCCAATTCAGTGATCCTGACCTTCAGAGCAGTAAACAGGCTTTATTTAATTCAAGTATTGTACAACGAGGCCAAAGAGTAGCTAAACATCTCACAGACTGAGCAGGAAGATGCAGGAAGAACAGTTGAAGAAGCCATGTTGCTAGCAAGCCAGCTACGAGCTAAGCTAAACTAGCAAATACCTAGACACAGTAAATGAATACTGTGAATATAATTAGGGCTCAGTAGTTGGGCGTCTGCCATTTTTTCTGTTATTTTTTCTCTGATGCTCTTCAGTTCCATTCTTAGAAAGCACAAAACTGCTTTCCTTTGTTCCCTCTTCATGTGAATATGGAAGGATGTCTACTTTATACAGACTTGCATACAAACGGAGTGTCTTGAGGAACTAAAAGCACTGACAGCTCTGAACTTACTGAATTATAATGAAACATAGGTTATTGTATTTGGTCCTGCTGTTGCACTGTTGGGTTTTTTCCTGTACACATGGACCCTAGACAGTAATTTTAGATGTGACAGTCTAAAAGTCTAAAATTACTGTGGATTTCTGTGCAGTGGTGTAATGCAGTTTCTTTCAGCTGAGGCAACTGATAAAGATAAAACAAAAACATTGTGTTGAAAGATCACTTTAAAATAATGCCTTTATGACAGCTCGGTTGGATTACTGCATCTCTTTGTGTTTGGGAGGTTGCTGTAGCACAGGAGGAAGAGCAGGTCATCTACCAGGGCCATCTATAGGGTTTTGAATGCTTACAAAGAGTAGAACAGCGCTATACAAGAACCAGTCCATTTGGTGCTAGCCAGTCCTCCCTGCAGCTGGTGCCACATGACTTTTAACTGGAACATATAAGAGAGACTATATTACTCTGGTTCTTAAAGCCCTTAAATTCATCCTACTTCTCTGAGCTAATGCACTTGTATTCCCGTCCTGTGCCCTTAGTTCAGTTCACCATCTGCAAGTACACAGTGGACGTTCAAGAGGGACAGGTCTTTTCCCATTGCAGCTCACAAATTGTGGAAATTACACATTAGACTGACTTGTTAAGACCCACTTCTACTTAGCTTTCAACCCACTGTGACATGTTGATTTTATTAACTCATGTTTAATTGTGTTTTGTACTGTTATTCATGCTTTTATTTTGTCCGGTACTTTTGTTTAATATTACAATTATTGTAATGCTTTTATTCCTACGTTCAACACTTTAAAAACAGAAAACACTAAATGGCTAAAGCAACACTAAAGCAACACTAAACACTAAAGCAACTTTATAAAAAAGTTGCTTTTCTTTATGCCTCTGATGACTGATCTTCGATCTCATTAGGATAGTGTGCAGTGGGACACTTGGAGGGCAGACTGTCAGCTGCCCAACTAATCAGAATTAGAAGTCATACTTTTGTTTCCTTTACTGTAATTCACTGCTGGGTGGGCGAGACAGGCTGTTTGGAAGATGGAGCTAAGCCTTGCCCAGGCTTAACTATCTATACAAAGTATATCAAGATGTAATCCAGATGTAATCAATTCATATATTTCTCAAAGTTAGGAATATATAAATATATTTCAGGAAACAGTAATAAATCTAATAATAATCTTCTGTGACCCTGCAGTTCATGTGCTGAGAGAAGTGGATGTGGGGAGTCCAGCTCAGGGTGCAGGAATGGAGGAGGGAGACCTGCTGCTTGCTGTCAATGGGGAACCTATTGAGTCCATGGAGCATGAAGACATTGTTAGAAAGATTAGACAGAGTGGGGATAAAGTCTCGCTTACAGCTATATCTATTCCAGGAAGAGACTTTTACAGAGAGGCAAGTACAATCATATCAATACAGTCACACAAATATAGTATAACACGTAGTGTGTAAGGGGTGAACTGCTTTCTGTTCTCCTGCAGTTAGGCATTTCTCCTCTGTTATTCCATGAAGACTGTTCTCACCACTGCATAAAGAACTGGGAGGACGCTCCTCTAAGAAAACCCACAAAGTATAATCAGGACAGAGAGGAGGCTGACTCTGGTTTCTACTCAGGTTATGTCGCAGAAATGCCAGAAACCGTAAGGATACAGGTAGGACCTCACTGTTTTACTGAAGTTAGACATGAATGTGTGAGAACATGGCATGCAGTGTAAAATGTTGAGTCATCATAATGTCTAGAAAGGTGGTATTTAATGGGATTTGCAAAGCTAGTAATGCTTTGTGAATATTTAGATGTTTCTAAATGTGCAATTTTGCTTGCATTACATGTTTAACAGACCTTACTTACATTGTGCCTTTCTACTAAGGCACTCAAAGCAGTCCCTCATTCACCCAATCACACACACATTCATGCAACTATGCCTAAACACTTTTCAACATTCACACACTCACACCTTAGTTGCCCAAAGTAGATGCATGGATATGCATCAATTAAAGAAAAATGCTGTTGTCATTTTTTATTGCATTTAACAAAACAAAAATTCATTCATCATCATTCATTTTCAGGACCTACTCTACTTAAGTTTGTGTCCACAAACTTGTGTCCACAAACTTGAGTAAGTTATTCAAATGTTCCTCAAATGTTCCCGTTAGTCAAAATTTTAGAGCATTTTCCGTTGAATCTCCAATGCGTCTAAAAGAGTTTTTGGTTCTATGTAGACAACACATGGCAGACCCGACCACATATTGCACATTTTTAACACTTTTCTTTATTACGGTTATTGTAACTACACGCACACGGCTGCAGTTTTTCAGCTGCCAGCCACACACCCCAACGACAACAACAGCAAACACCCAGGATCCAGTACAGGGAAGGCGTGGTAAGCTGATGCAGCTCCGGTGTATGAGCCTCCCCGCAGCGGTGTCACAGACCACGCCCCGTAACATTCTAACACGTGAAAATATTAATTTATTTACCAAAATTATTTCTTAATATTATAATTTCTTATGCCATCTTAGAAACCCCATGATTTTGTGTATTTGGATTAGATTATCTACTGATGTATTTCCTTTTAACAAATCAGTATACTGGCAAAGTGAAGGATCTGGTCAAAGACAATAAAGACCACTTTGGTATGATAGTGGACTCAGTAGAGAATGTAAGAGTGGCTGCATTTAACCTATATGTACCTAACAAAGGTTACCCACAATTCTTTCAAAAACTCACTTCTCTTTTTGCTGAGTAACGTAAAGGGATAATTCTAATACAGACAGGCTTTAACTCTAAAAGTGGACAAGAACTGAATAGACTACCTGTAGACAAAGAACACATATCCAGAAAAAGTAAGCCATTTTAGGGGGTGAGGGAGAAACACTGGTAGTTGTACTGTCATCCCAGAGAAAGCAATTTTTTTGTTTGTTTTTTTTGTCCCATGTATCCCAGGAGAATTTACCTCGAAATTTACCGTAACACACAAAATATGCTTGGGAACAGATAAGCATTTCAAGTATTGGAGACTAAATGTATCACTACTGAGAAATGCCTTACTTTAACAGGAAATGCAGAAGGATGTGAATTTAAATGATATTCAGTGGTACTCTCCCTCCCTCTAGTCATCTCATGTTTACAACTGCGGTTACAATTGATATTTATATCAACATGAAAACAATTGTATTTGCTGTTATGGACACATTTGTATATACATCCTAAATTTTTTTCTGTTTATATACATTCTTTTTTGTTAACTTTAATTTTATTCTTCTTTTGCACTGAAAGAACTGTTCTAACTCTCAAATGTGCGCTTGAAAGTAGATGTAAGTAAGCTTGAGTTGAAATGGTGTCCCGCAAGATCTTTAGATAGCCTGGAACCATAGTTTGCTCTATTAGAGAAAAGCCTTCTGTAAAGCTGTGGCATCTCATTCATCACTGATTGAAAAAATTGAGAACAACCAAAGCTTTCTTTTCACCACTGTAGCCAGGGTCACCAAGAGTCAGCCAAGCATTCCATGAATTTCTTCACAAATAAATTTTTAACCATTAGAGAAAAAAATATTCATAACCATCTGTAGAGGTATTATTAATGCAGATGGTTACTAGAATAAGTATACTGCAGATACATTTTCAAACTAGTTATCTCCAATCTTCATGAGTTAACTTCATTAACTTCAATCAAAAGCGTCAATGTGTATTAGATGTCTTTCTACAGTCCTCCTCAAATAAGTCAATAAATTTATCTTAAATATGATCAGTCAATCACTATTAAGGGGCCATTTTGAGCTTGGGGCTTCCAGTCCATGTTCCTGTATACTGTGTCAGA